CGTTGGACAAATCGAACGCGGCAAAATGCTGTTAACATCCCGCAAAGCCTCATGGGAACTGTAGTTATAAACCTCAGAGCACCACAAACATGCTGAGTCCCTTTCAAATATAAATCTGTTATTTAAAACCATTCACAGATATTATCCAACAAATTCTATAATGTGTGAATATAGAATATAGAATATGCTCTTAATGTATTAATATGTTATCATAAATACTTTATTGATCCCCCTTATTGGTTCTGTTACAGGAGCAAATTAATTAAATGAAATTAAAAACAATATTATTTATTTTCTTATAACTTGAGCAACTGTAACAGAACCAACTTCTCCTTAAAGAACATCATCTGTTGTTAATGTTTAATAATTCTAATTTCTCCGGCTGACTAAATCAGCGTTTTACTACAGAACAAAACACCAGCTAACTATCTTCTTCTTCTAGCTACATAATCTACATTCATCTTTACACAGCTTTTTTCACAGGATGGTGAAGTCATGACCTGAACTCTGATCGGTCTGATTACCATGACGTTCACACACTAACCAACAAAAATAACCACTAACCTAACCAACCAAACCAGTGAAGGCAACACCAATCAGCCAGATTAAAGCGCGTCATGACAACAGCAGTTAGTATCCATTCAACATGGCCGACAAAACTCCTTCAGATAAATTGTCTTTTAAAGTGTATTTTTAAAGCATTTGAAACAGAAATAAACAGTGTACAGAGAAATAAAGTCACCACAAATGTTCGTTCTGGTTCGTCTGAAACCAAAATTCAACTCCAGCAGTGAAAATCTCACAGCAAACATCCAACAACGTAAAGTCGACTCCGATCAGCTCTGGAGTCAGATTACAATCAGCCAAACGTCGGTTTAAAGATGACCAGCCGGTGTAACACCTACATCGTAAGGCGGAGCACAAAGTATTGGCATTCATAAGTCAAATGCTTTTGGATTGAAATGATCAAACTCTGTCTTTTATGACTCATCCTGCATACAAACATTACGCTCTTAAAATCAGCTCAGTTTTATACAGTAATAATAACTACATGCATACGATACAGACATGCACAATATGTAAAAACAAAGGTTTCATCTCTGGGTGAAATGACAGGAGCTAATCATACAGCAAACATTAAGAAACAGTTGGACATTTGAGGACAATATTTACTTTCTTGTGAAGGAGGAGATTAGCTTAGCTTAGCATGAAGATAAATCAACACACTACAGATATTTAGAGATGTTGGGTGGCGTATGTTTTAGCTTTGGGCAGAACCAGGCTAGCTGATTCCCCCTGCTTTCAGTCTTAATGCTCTAGGGCTGCCATCATGCCATGTCATCAGAATGGGAAGAGCAGAGAAAATTCCTGTTTTTCCGACTTATTGCAAGATGGCTAACCCCATTGGTATTCTTTTAGTCGCAACATTTAAACAGCCTAAATTAGCTTCTTTTGCTTTGTTAGCTATTGGGAGTGAAACCAGATACAACAAAATGATGCGTTCAATTTAAACTCCGTAGTTGTCGAACTGAACATTCGACCCTCTTTGTTTCGCTTATGTTAGCTTACTTAAAGATGTGACTCTCTTTTATTGTTCAACCATGAATCCAAAAGGATGGTTTAATGTTAGGGACTTTTCAAGTTTTCAACACCGCCTGAAGTCGTATTTATGACTCAGAAAGTCCTTAGACCTTAAAATCTAAGATGGCTGCTTATTAACCACTCCTGTCTTTTACAGCCGATACTGTCCACCTGTCTTTGTGGACATGTTGTTATAGTGTTTGGGTTGAAGATACTGCAGAGATATTTTATTGTTGCTGTCAAAAACGGTTCCTGACGTTAACAGTTTTCCAGAACCTGTTATGGTTCAAATAATATGACGTAATGCACATTAATTACAGGCATGAGATTGGGAAAAGGAAATATTTGCATATTTCCCAAAATGTCAAACTGTTCCTTTAACTTAAGACAAAACAAATTTTCCCCAAAAATTTGTAAAAAGAAATAAGAAAATAAACCAGCAAAAGTGACCGTCTGCCTGCTGAGGTCATCCTGTCTCAGCTCATTGCATCCCCTCCATTTTACATTTATTTCAGCCTTAAACATTTTACTAACAATAATGATAAAATACGACTTAAATGTGCAGTAAAAACTATCATCATGCAGTTTTTAAACCTTATTTGACTTATTTTAAGCCTGAGCTTTGGCCAAGACTGAAGTTACTCTGCTACAAACACCCAAACATAAAGCTGATGCATGAGTGAAAAATAACATATTTCAGATATATCATTTGCAGCAGTAAACATCTAAACAAATATGGCCAAATACAGTATGGCATAGCAGGATAGCACCTTTTTCTTTCGGTTCTTGCATTCGATCATTATGGCACAATCATCAAATTCAAGAGAAAAATACTCTCCTTAAAAACAGGCTCAAAAGCATTTACAACATATACAGTTTATACACTATATACAGTGTGGAGCAGGGTCGTCTGCGTTTCTAATAGAAATATAAAGCCTTTATACATCCTCACACTCTAGCTTTTTTATTCCAGGCACTACATGACTGAATATCCCATTGGCAGATAAGCTAAAGAAGCAGAGCGGCTCATAGCACAGACATTTAGTTTGACACTAATTGATTGTTCCCAGCGAATAACTGACTTTTATTCTGGCAACAAGTGCTTTATTATTATGTATAACAAGTGTGGGGCCACTCAGTAGCCCTCCGTTTGACAATGCTCATCAGTGAAAGACGTCAGTCAGCCAGAGGAGGAAGATTTCAGCACAATATCCAGCTGAACATGGACGGAATATGAGACAGTGGGTCCCTGGGACACACACATAAGACCCACACAGCTGCTTAGTAGTTTGTAGTTGCAGTTGTTGGTGGTTGGTTTGCGTCTCTTTAGTCATTTTGCATCTTTTTTATGTCTCTATGGTTGTCCTGTGCCTGTTTATACTTTTGTTCTTTTGTTGTTTGTTTGTTTTGTTTTCTGTTGTTGTTTTGAGTCACTTGGTTGTTTTGTAACTCTTTGTAGTATTTTTGTGTCTCTTTGTAGTATTTTTGTGTCTCTTTGTTTTTGTTTTGTGTCTCTTTGTAGTATTTTTGTGTCTCTTTGTTGTTGTTTTGCATCACTCTGTGGTAATTTCACGTCTCTGTCTGTTGTTACATCTTGTGGTCTTTCTGTGGTGCTTTGCGACTTTTTGTAGTTGTAGTCGTTTGGTCTCTCTTTGTAGTTGTTTTGTGTCTCTTTATGGTTGTTTGGCTGTTGGTAGTCATTTGGTGTCTCTCTGCAGCTGTTTTGAATCACTTTGCATTTATTTTTACATTTCTTTAGCTGTTTTGTGTCTCTTTTAGTGACATTTGCAAGTGAAGCCCAGGGACCCCCTAAGGCCTGTTTGAAATCCATCCATCCAGCTGGAGATATTGAGGAAAGAGGTTCGCCCAGTGGTGTAGAACAGCGGTCATCCCTACAGTCCTATGAGATGGGTTATCATACCGCTGTGACAGATAGGATGGATTTATGGTTTTCTTCAATAGTGTCACTGTAAAGAGTGTGTGAACCAACATGTACAGTCTTTTTCTTTATTTTGTAAAGTTTGCCTGTCGCAGTGCCATTTGGAATCACAGAAACTGGATATTTCAACAATTTAGAGCATTTGTACTTTTAACTTTTTGTTGTCTTTTTATCTAAGCAGTCTTAATAAAGGTACAATGAATCAGGTTGGTGGAAAACTGAGGTGTGTCTTGTGCAGTCAGACTACCAAGAGTATATAGCTGCAGACAAAATTGTTGACTTCCACCTCTGCAAGAGCATGTGCAATCTCCGTTACCTTTGTGTAAACCAAAACACAACAACTTAATTTACAAAATTTGGTGAAATTGGATCGTATTTTATGGAGAAAATATTTTCAGTTTTTTTCTCTGATGTCCTCTGGCTGCTCTGCCTCAACTCTTTATGGAGTTTCCTGATGGTCAGATAGCTTTACTTATTGCTAACTGCTGCTAACTGTAGCTGCTGTTAGCAAAGTTAGCTCTGCAGCTAAAGCTACTTTGCTAGCAACACTGACACTGCCCCAGTGCTCTGGGCTCCCAGTCCGGGTACAGTGGTCAGTATGTCTGCTGTCATGACTGCTAAACTGAGGTAACGGAGGTACCGTTTATGCATGCTCTTCTGGAGGTCCACCAATGTCTGCATCCAGGTTCCTCTCAGTTATTGTGACTATAACTATACTAAAGATTCAGTCATAATTACTATGTTTCAAATTAGGTGAGCTTTACAATCTTTTCATGTACCCTCTGGTAACTGCAGTAGCTCCTGGTGCTGCCTCATTTTGTTATTGTGGCCTGGTGTTGTAGTATTATTACATTAGTACTACACCACTGGGTTTACCTGTTAGATGTCAGGGTAGAACTCTGTATTGACGTCAACGCTGTGCAAGACAGACTTTTGATCAGCAGCTGACATCCTGTTCAACACCTCAGCTGACAGAGAGTAACTGCTGCCAGACTTCTCCTCAAACCAGCTGTCCAACGCTCGCTTCCCATCAAAGTTACAGATGGGCGGTCCGTTAACTGCCACAGTTAGCAGGTCATTCATCTGCTCCAGAGTCAGCCGGGAACGATTGTTCTTACACATTTTCTGTAGAGATACTCTGCCTTTATCGCAGCAGGTTGTGGAACTAGGCTGGACCCTGACAACCTGCACAATCCGATTCAGCAGAGGAAAACGCTGCTTGTACCTACAGATGTGACCAATGGCTTCTTTAAAACCATTCATACTGCAATAGTCCTCTTTCAGGTCTTTCCATTCAACCACCAGGCTGCCCCTGGCTTCTGTCCTGGCATGGGAGCCCTCCTGACCCACAGAGGGAATGGACTCCAAGTGGTTGAATATCATCTGGATTTCTTCCTCCCCATAAGCTTGTAGGTCCTCCCGGTTGTGGGGCCAGGTGGACAAGTCCAGGACTTTGCAGGCTTTGGCAAATGAACGACTCTGCAGGTCCAGCCTCTGAGACAGGATGCCCTGGCTCCTGTTGCAGATCTTTTCTCGGATGGACTGAAACTTGGACTCCGCAACACGCAGGTTCTTCAGAGCAACACCGTTGAAACTTTCACGGAAATTTTCCTCAAACTCCTGCAGATACTCTCCGGGACAGTCCACCAACTGACCAATCTCCAGAATGGCCTCCTCTATCTTGGCTTCCACTTGTGACACCAGCAGGTACTCTCCCTGAAAAGTGAAGGCTAGTCGTGAGAGAACGGCTATGATGTCCAGAAGGAAGTAGATGAGCTTTACTGACTGATAGTCCATGAGGAACTGGAGGAGGGTAAGCGCGATGGCTGCAGCGTCAGCCCTCTGTGTCTGGCTGCTGATCTCCTTAAGATGGGCGACTACCTCCAGGTAATCTTTGATGAGTGCGTTAAGGACATTTGGTTCTCCTATGATCCATCGAATTGCTCTAATGTCTCCCAGGAACTCTGTCTCCTCTGACAGTGTTGGAGCAGTGGATCGCAGTTCGGACATCATGCGAGGCGAATAGCGGTAGAAACTGAGTAGCTGCTTAAGGTTGTTCTCCAGATCCTCCAGGCAGGAGAGCTCCTTCCCACTGATGCCATCCAGCACCTCCAGATGGGGCCGATGGATCATGATAGGAAGGCAGAGGATCCAAGGGAAAGTCTTTTGTACAGCTATGTACACGTTGGCTCTCATTCCTGAAGACATGTTGGTGCCATCTACCCCAAGCCCTACCACCAGCAAGTCCTGAAACCTGAGGCCTAGGACACCAAAGGCACGATCCATAGCCTGGAGGTATCCATCCACACTGGCCATGCTCAGTCTCTGCAATGACAGGAACTCTGTGTTTGGAGAGCCCTCATTGGTAATAAACTGGACGTAGACCGCCACCATGTCTGAGAAAAGGTCATCATTTTGGGCGTCCATTATGACACTTAGGAAGGGAGAAAGGCGCATCTTCTCAGCAAGATCTTCTTTTAAAGCCCGGGCGATGTGATGGATGAGGATCTGACAGTCTCCTTCATTCATGTACTGGTCCACCACTTTGAGTTCACACCTCTTGAGAAGCTCTGCCAGTGGACGGAGGTCGGAGAAGGGCCTTCCCTCCAGGGCCAAGTGGTATGCTGCGTTGAACAGCAACATCATGTTCTTGCACATCTCCTCTGTCTTTTCTGGATGCATGCGCAGCTTATACAGCTGCAGACACTTCTTATGGAGGTTGCTCTGGCTATGCAGCTTGATGGTGTGGATCTTAAACTGCTTGGAGCCGATGATGAAGGCAGATGTTCGAGATGACTGGACGGTGTACTGGCGGCAGACGTGGCACCACATCTCATTGAGGGTCGGCGAGTAGCGAAGAAACCAGAACTTTTTCAGCCACTCCTGCTTGAAGCGGCGAATCCGTCTGCCTCCTCCAGATGAAAGCTTCGAAGGATCTTCTGGAGAAATCACAAGATCTGCGGCAATTGATTCATCGGCCGAGTCCACATCCTGGTCATCTTCATCCAGAACCACCTGAGTCGGAGTCAGAGGCTCCATCCCTGCAAAGAAAAACACGTTAAAAAAAAATCAAAATAATTTTAAAATCCAATGGATGTGATGTTTAAGTACATTCTCTCCATCTTTTCTTTCCACTTCCTCTACAGATAACATTAGCTTGCTAATGCGGACAAACTGCTAGCTAGTTAACATAGCAAAATAGGCGAGCTAGGTCCAAATAAAATATAGGAACATTGCAAATAGTA